GTATATATATGTGTGATAGGCCTATGTACATATAATAGAGCCCAAAAAACAAAACTTGTCATGAACCGTTTCTAGTTCAGTTCGTAGATGAAAGTTTAGTGAGTGTATTGTCCGAATTTTATGCCTGTTTCTAATTATTCAAGCCACGTTTTAAATTAAATTGCATTGTTTTGATTGTATTTTCTTGCTTCTCTTTGTTGGAGGTTATTTTGAATAAATGAAATGAAATAAAAATCAGTTTTTCTGAATAACTGAAATCTTGCCGGGAATGGGGCTTTAAATTCCTTTAAGGAAGCAAGCTTAAAGGGGGTGGGGGGAATGACAGAAGTCGCCATATTGTTTATTTAATCTTTGGTGAGTAAAAAATACTGGGGAATAGAACAAAAATGTTGTGATGTAACGATAATTATAGAAACACCAGGGATACCATGGAACAGTGAGTGAGACATGAAAATCAGATGAAAACGCGGCTGGTTATTGTTGAGTGTATTAACTGGGAAGCAATTTTCTAACGAACTCATTAATCATGATCAGGCTGTCAATTTTGGCGAGCAGCTGATCGAGGATCGGAATCGTCCCGACGATGATCGAACGTCTATAAATAGACAACTATTGTGTGAAGTCGTGAGTTTTTGTGATCGTTTACGTACGCCAGTAACAAAGAGAGGGTTTAGTCGATGTCAATCAATTCAATCATGGAGGAATAATTCAATTGAATTAATAAACGTATATCAGTCCTATGAAATGACTTGTTTATCTATAATTAGGCCTACACCTAGGCCTATGCCTAAGATTAACACACTCACAGTCAATGTCAACCCAGCAGCAGTAGCAGCACTCCACCAGTCCGGGAAACCTCTTCAGTCCCGCAGCAGGTGAGTTCGCACGCAGCCTGTAGTATTTATCCAGCTGACGGTAAAGTTAGTAGCTTTCTACTACTACTACTAGCCTAGCCTCGGCGTATCCTTAATAGGCCCAGCTAGTCTGACCATGGTCGGACTTAGGCCCTAAAAAGGTTGGGCCAAGGCCTAGAATATCGTTAGGCTCTAGACTTGTCATGCCATGGCGACTTGTCACATTGTGCCAGTGCATTTTTTTTCATAAATAGGCCTCCTAGGGTCTAGGCCTACTAATAATACTATTACTCTAGGCCTAGGCTTTGATCTGAGACCGGCTATGCCTAGTCCTATGAAAAACTGTCTAGGCCTAAATGTCTAAAAACTGCACTGTAGAATAAAGGTGATGTGCTATATAACACTATATCATCAGAGGCAACACCAAGGCCTGTAAGAATAAGATTATTTGTTAATATAGAGGCCTAGGCTACACAACAATAACGCCCCATTAAATAACATGATGTTACTCCAAACCTAACTAGTAACTTCATCGAAAAGTCAGCCTTTCACAACTTTGACCTTTTTTAACTTCCATCTGTTGTGTAAATGTGGAATTCAAATATATATATATATATATATATATATATATAATTTTTTATTTTTTTATTGTAAGACTACCAGATAGGTGATAGGCCTAAACATGACACTCTGGTCACATTCAGGTAATGTCAATCGCCATGATGAGACAAGAATACCCCAACATTTGCTATGAGTACAGTCACCCAACATTGGCATCTAACTAAAAGTGTACGAAAGAGGTGGTACAAAGCATACAAGCATCCAGCAAGACCTTGGCAAGAAACACTCTGGTTGTTTGCTGAAACTTAATGGAAGCTACAGTACACACAATTTAAGGTGAGCAAAGAAAATATTAGGTGAATATCTCATCATTGTTCAGCCAGAGTATATGAAGCAAATATATTAGCATGGTAAAAAAATATTAGCATTGGTGTTTTATTAAGAAACATTAATGTCAGATTTTTTTTTTGTACCAATATTATTTTCTACAACAATAATACATTACAAACTAGCAGACAAAAGGATTCAAGTAATAAAAAAAAAGTTCTGTTTAACTGAAAATACTGTCAATTGATGAATGTCTTTTCAGTATCTCAGTATGGTAACTGTGTGATTGATTAAGTAGCAAATACCAGTGTTTGATAAAATTGTTGATTTTTAACAAACCTGGTTTTGCATTATTGTAACTATATTTATTCCTCAATAGGAGCGAATAACAGGCTTGAATGGATTTGATGCAAACAGTTCCATCTGTGTGGACATGATGAAGTGGACTTAGCAGAAGGTGGCGATGCTCAGAACTCTGCAGCAAGTGATTGAGGCCGAAATATTTCAAAAGAATTGAATTTAAATGATTTATTCTAGTGATTTTTTTTTCCTAAAGATACATTACTGAAATGCCACACACTTAGTTTTTGTTTTTTACGCATCTGGTTTATATTGCAGCACTGTATTACAATGTGCATGCTAAATTTATAATAAATAAATAAATAATACTGTACCAGTTTTACTGTACCTGTTTATTTTTAGAAGTTGTGTTATTTGCAAAATATCTTTAATGTTAATAAATGGTATTGTAAGTGTTGTAATTTCTTCTTTTAAAACAGTGTAATCCCATTCAATAGTAATCCTTTTGAAGCAAATGTGTGACCCAGAATTATAAAACAACTTGTGAGGATTACTTTTGAAATAGATAATGTGCGAAGTTGATAATACAGTATGAAAATGTGGCTGAATATATACAGGAACAACTATTTTAATATATGGTGTAAAGTTATTCTATGAATTTGGTTATTTTTTAATGGCTGGATTATGCCTATGTCTGCAGCTTTTAAACATTAGCTGATCAATTTGGTATTGCAATTTAAAAGAAAGCTTCGATTTTGTTGTTGTACATCATTTTTTGTTAAGTGTTTTGAAATATATAGTTGAACTTGCCTATGTTGTATCCAAAATGCCATTGAGAAATTGTTTGACATTAACAAAATTTGACTTACATTTACGGTAATGGAAAACACAAAAATTCGGCATGTAAAATTAGATCGACTTAGAAATTATTAGAGTATGGCAAAGTCGTCTTAGGCAAGTTTAACAGCACTACTTTATTTATCATGTCTGATTGTCTCGTATTATTTACCATAGCCAAGATTTCTTCTTTCATGATGATATTCAACATCCATATTTTTGGTGCTTCACTTGGTTATTGATTATTATTAATATACATAAATTCAAGACTTCTACTGGTGTTACTAAATAAATATTTTGAAACACAATTTATCATCCTTGTACATGGCAAATAATTTATTACAAGTGTATTTTCTCACAGTTAATATAAAATGTTTTACTATACACGGAATAAAGCAACATTGAAGCAGTCAGGTATTACGATATACTGTATATGACCTGTCTCTTATACACATCTAGATGTGTATAAGAGACAGCCTATACGTAACGTAGGCTAGGGTAGGCCTAGACTAGGCCTAGGCAGTCTAGGCCTAGCCCAGCGTTGGCTAGGCCTAGGCTTGGCTAGGCCAAAAAAAAAATTGAAATGTCCCAAATATTTTTTTATTTATTTTTAATAGAAAGACATAACTGAATGAAGCATTTTAAAACAAAAATTATGTAAATCGGGCCAATATTAGCGGAGATATTGCTATTTTATAAATATGTTTTTGCTGGAGTTAATTCCAATTGCTTTTATTATATAAGAAGTTTGTCCCTTACAGTATAGTTATGTAGCATTTTAAGCCATGTTATAATAATACTTGACAATTACTAACGATTATAATTTAGTATTTTAGTATATATAATTATATTTATATTAGATTTAATAATTTTTATCAACTTATAGATTCTACGTATAATAAATTATATTGAATCGCATACCTGTAACTC